ATGTGCAATATTGCAATAGTATAATATACACATCAAACAATTTATGAATAACAATCATGTCTGTACATTACAAGTGCGAAAAACACTTCTAGAGCTTTTCCTGTTTCCGGGGGGTTTACAGGAGTCTTAGAGATCTTAGGAGTTTGGGGGGGTAGGGGGGGTTTACGCGCAAAAACCGGGGGTGATAATAGGAAAGTTTGGGGAAAATTAAATATCTGATTAAACTTTATGCTCTTGATATCAGTTATGCAATTCTTCTATCAATATCTTATCACCATTCATACTATTTCTTTCATGCAAGGAAAATGTTCAACCTTGTCTGTCATTTCTGTATGCACTCTGAGATGTCAAATGAAAGGAAAAAAAAAAAGAGAACCCCCCACACGCTGGAAAGAACGCCCGGCATGGTGGGTAACGAGGAGTATGTATTACCACCATTAACTTATGCAAGCGTCGATGAAAGTATGGGGAATTATAACAATTATAGGACCTGAAATAGGAACCAGATGCCAGGAATAATTCACCTAGTGAAACCCCCACGAATACTTGTCCTTGACCTTCAAGAACCGTTGACATTAAGGAATCAACTGATGGTGGGCTCTTACTACATTAAATATGGGTAATGAATAGGATGGTGGGTACTTGGTATAACTTAACTAGTGAGAGTTGTGATCGGTCTTAAACTATCGTTTAGTAATTAATGGGTATTTATTGGAGAATGTTCAATTATGGTTTATGTACCCTTTAGTTAAAATGGTTTAAACAAATATGTGGTATATTTGTCTATGTTTTTATAAATGATATGTATTAATATATAGGATATGTTTGATATAAAATAATGGTGTTAATACATATATGCATTGCGTTTACATGGAAGGCAGAGCCCGGCAAACAATAGTCTAAATTAGGATCCTAGCTTTGGGAGTTAGGGGCGGGGGTTAAAATCCCCTTTGTTTGAAGCAGTAGGAAGGGCTTTAACCTTCGACGTCCGGTTTACAAGACCGGCGCTCTGGCGCTGAGCTACTAGTGCAGGCTCATTCAAGGATTTTGTTTTCTAGTCAGCCGGCGAGAGGGGCGAGGACGAGAAAGAGGAAGAAGTAGAGGAAAGATGCAATTTGCCCAATAATGACGAAGGGGTGTTCAACGGGTATGCCTCCAATTCAGGTGAGGATGGCGACGTCTGCAACTAAAAGTCAGAAGAGGAACTGCGTGATAGGGCGAAATGTTAAGCCTCGTTGTTTGGAGGTGTGGAGGATAGGAACAACTATCAAGACAAGGATTGAGAATAGGAGGGCGAGAACCCCGCCAAGTTTGTTAGGGATTGAGCGGAGGATGGCGTAGGCAAATAGGAAGTATCATTCGGGTTTGATATGAGGCGGGGTGACTAGGGGGTTTGCAGGGGTGAAGTTGTCGGGGTCTCCAAGCAGGTTGGGGGAGAAGAGGGCGAGAGAAATGAGGGCGATTAGAAGGACTGCGAAGCCTAATAAGTCTTTGTAGGAGAAGTAAGGGTGGAAAGAGATTTTGTCGGCGTCTGAGTTTAGGCCTGTGGGGTTGTTGGACCCGGTTTCGTGGAGGAAAATAAGGTGCACTATTGTTGCAGCTGCAATAATGAAGGGAAAGAGGAAATGGAAGGCGAAGAAGCGGGTTAAGGTGGCGTTGTCTACGGAAAACCCCCCTCAGATTCATTGGACTAAAGAGTTGCCAATATAAGGGACTGCGGAGAGAAGGTTCGTGATGACAGTGGCGCCTCAGAACGATATTTGACCTCACGGGAGGACATAGCCCACGAAAGCTGTTATTATAGTTAAAAGGAGTAGAATTACTCCAATGTTTCAGGTTTCTTTATGGAGGTAGGAGCCGTAGTACAGGCCTCGGCCGATGTGAAGATAAATACAAATGAAGAAAAAGGATGCGCCGTTAGCGTGCATGTTTCGAATGAGTCAGCCGTAGTTAACATCACGGCAGATGTGGGCAATGGAGGAGAAGGCGGTGGCGATATCGGAGGTGTAGTGTATGGCTAGGAAAAGGCCTGTCAGGATTTGGGCAGCTAGACAAAGCCCTAGTAAAGATCCAAAGTTTCATCAAACAGAAATGTTTGAAGGGGCTGGGAGATCAACTAGTGCGTCGTTTGCAATTTTTAGGAGGGGGTGGGTTTTTCGGAGGTTGGCCATTATTGTTTTTGTAGTTGAATAACAACGGTGGTTTTTCAAGTCATTAGTCCTGGTTAAAGTCCTGGCAGAAACTATGGTTTATATTATGTTTATATTTTTACTAGGGCTGGTAGTTGGTCTTGCGGCGGTTGCTTCTAACCCTTCGCCGTATTTTGCGGCGTTAGGGCTGGTTGCGGTAGCAGGTATGGGGTGTGGGGTGTTGGTGGGGCATGGGGGGTCTTTTTTATCTTTAATTTTATTTTTGATTTATTTGGGGGGAATATTAGTAGTGTTTGCATATTCGGCAGCATTGGCTGCTGAGCCTTATCCTGAGGGTTGAGGGAGTTGGCCTGTGTTAGGGGTAATAGTGGCGTATTTATTAGGGGTGGGCATGGCGGCGGTGTTATTTTGAGGGGGGTGATACGAGGGGGCTTGAGTGTCTGCTGATGAATTTGTTGAGTTTTCGGTTTTTCGGGGGGATGTTGGAGGGGTAGCTTTGATGTACTCGATGGGTGGGGGTGTTTTGGTGATAGGGGCTTGAGTGTTGCTGTTAACGTTGTTTGTGGTGTTGGAGTTAACGCGGGGTTTAAGTCGGGGGGCCCTTCGAGCTGTTTAATAAAGTAGTAGTAGAAGAGCTAAACCGAAGGTGAAAAAGAAGAGGGAAAGATAGGTTTTGATTATACCCTGTTGAATGTTGTTAGTCGTGGTAATTAGAGGGAGGTTAAGGGTAGCAGTTGCTTTTGGGCCCATTTTTTCTAACCATGTTTGGTCGACTGTTTGGGAGGCGATGGTTTGTCCTAAAATCAGGTTTAGTTTGGGGATGAGGCGATGAATAACTATTGGGAAGAAACCTAGTATGTTAGAAAAATGGTGGGGAGAAAGGTTTGGTATTGGTTTGTATTGCTTATTGGTTAGTGAGGCGAGTTCTAGTGCGGTGAGAAGGCCGATAATAGTCACTATTAGGGCGGCAACTTTGAGAAGGAATGGTATGGATATAACTGGTGTTTTTAAGGGGGTGATGTTGGAGGTAATTAGGAGACCGGCGATAATACTTCCTCAGGCTAGGCGTTTGATGGGGTTAATAACTGTTGAGTTGTTTTCGTTAATTGGGGAAAGGGGGTTGAAGCGGGGGTGGCCTATTGAGACGAAGAAAACTACCCGAAGACTGTAGATAGCGGTGAAGGAAGTGGCTAGGAGGGTGAGGAATAGGGCCCAGGCGTTTAGGTAAGATGTGTTTAAGGCTTCAATAATAGCATCTTTTGAAAAGAAACCTGCTAAGAAAGGGGTTCCTGTGAGAGCTAGGCTTCCGATGGTTAAGCAGGAAGATGTGAAAGGAGTCAGGTGATGTATACCTCCTATTTTTCGGATGTCTTGCTCGTCGTTTAGGCTATGAATAATAGACCCTGAGCAGAGGAAAAGTATAGCTTTAAAGAATGCGTGAGTGCAGATGTGAAGGAAGGCAAGTTGGGGTTGGTTAAGCCCAATTGTTACTATTATTAAACCCAGTTGACTTGAGGTTGAGAAAGCAACGATTTTTTTGATATCATTTTGGGTGAGGGCGCAGGTTGCGGTAAAGAGGGTGGTGAGGGCCCCTAAACAAAGGCAAATGGTTAAGGCGGTTTGATTGTTTTCTAGTATTGGACTTATGCGGATGAGGAGGAAGATGCCTGCTACGACCATGGTGCTTGAGTGCAGTAGGGCAGAGACCGGCGTAGGGCCTTCTATGGCAGAAGGAAGCCAGGGGTGGAGGCCAAACTGGGCGGATTTACCAGTGGCAGCAATGATGAGACCAATGAGGGGGTAAGTTAGATCAAAGTCTTTGGATAAAGTAAATATTTGTTGTATTTCTCAGGAGTTAAGGGAGGTTGCAATTCAGGCTATAGCAAAAATTAGGCCGATGTCCCCTACTCGGTTGTAGACTACTGCTTGGAGGGCAGCGGTGTTTGCGTCTGCACGGCCGTATCATCAGCCGATGAGGAGAAAAGATATAATTCCGACACCCTCTCAACCGATAAATAGTTGAAATATATTGTTTGCGGTAACAAGAATGATCATGGCAATGAGGAAGATTAGGAGGTATTTAAAAAACCGATTTATGTTCGGGTCGGCATGTATATATCAGGAGGCAAATTCTAGGATTGACCAGGTGACATAAAGGGCGACAGGGGTGAAGATAATTGAGTAGATATCAAATTTAAGACTAATATTAATATCAAATGTGTGGGTATTTATTCAAGTTCAGCTGGTAATAATTGTCTCTGTGCCTTCGTTAAGGAAGAGGCAGAGAGGGAGGATGCTAGTAAAGAAGGCTCATTTTACTGCTGTTTTAACCTGGGTTAATGCTCAGTTGAGAGGGAGGGGGGTGGGGGAAAAGGAGGAAAGGATGGGGGATATAAGTAATAAAAAAATAAGAATTAGACTAGTGGTTATTATGGTGGAGGTGAGGTGCATAGCTGCTACTTGGATTTGCACCAAGAGTTTTTGGTTCCTAAGACCAACGGATGAGCTGTTATCCTTTAGAAGCGGGGCGAGTGAGCTTAGGAGTCTAACCTAAGAGGCAAAAATTAGCAGTCTTTGTTGTTGTCAACCTCTCTCGGTGAATAAGGGGGTTTTAACCTCTGTTTTTAGAATCACAATCTAATGTTTTTGTTAAACTATATCTACAGGCGGTTCACCCTCAAATTAATTCGGGCTTGGTGATTAGAAGAATTAGGGGTAGGAGATGAAGGGCTAGGAGAAGATGTTCTCGGGAATGTGTTGGGTCGAGGGATATAATATGTGCTGGTAGGGGCCCCCGTTGTGTCATAAGAAATATATACAGGGAGTAGCCTGCAGTAATTAGGGTTCCAGCTCCCGTGAGTGCAATTGTTCATCAGGATCAGTGGAGCAGGGAGGTAATGATTATGAGTTCTCCTATTAGATTTGGTAGAGGGGGGAGGGCAAGGTTTGCAAGGCTGGCGATGAATCATCATGCGGTTATTAGAGGTAAAACCATTTGGAGTCCTCGGGCTAATACTATGGTTCGGCTGTGGGTTCGTTCGTAGTTTGTGTTAGCTAGGCAAAAGAGGGCGGAGGAAGTTAGACCGTGTGCGATTATTAGAATAAGGGCGCCTGTGAAACCTCAGGGAGTTTGGACTAGAATACCTGCTGCTACGAGTCCCATATGACTTACTGAGGAATAAGCAATTAGGGACTTTAAGTCTGTTTGGCGGAGGCAAATTGAGCCAGTTATAATCACCCCTCAGAGGGCGAAGATAATGAAGGGGTAGCTGAGTTCTTTGGTGAGCGGTTCTAGCATAATTATTATACGTATTATTCCATAGCCTCCTAGTTTTAGTAAGACTGCGGCTAGTACTATGGAACCAGCGATTGGGGCTTCAACGTGTGCCTTGGGAAGTCAGAGGTGGGCCCCATAGAGGGGTATTTTTACTAGGAAGGCGAGCAAGCAACCGGCTCATCATAGTTTATCGGCGAAAGAAGAGAGTTGTAGGGAGGGGGCATATTGTAGTGTTAGAAGGGATAGGGTGCCAGTGCTGTTTTGGAGCAGTAGGAGAGCGACAAGCAGAGGGAGTGAGCCTGCTAGTGTATAGAATAAAAAATAAGTGCCCGCATTTAGTCGTTCTGTTTGATTTCCTCAACGAGTAATGATTACAAGGGTTGGAATAAGGGTAGCTTCAAACATAATATAAAATATAATTATTTCGGTTGCGCCGAAGGCTATAATGAGGAAGATTTGTAATGATGTAAGGAGGGTAATGTAGGTTCGTTGGCGGGAGGAAGGTTCGGACGCTGTGTGGTTTTGGCTTGCAAGAATTATCAGGGGGAGAAGCCAACAGGTTAATGCAAGAAGGGGGGTAGAGAGGGGGTCTGTTGCTATGTAAGGGTTGAGAAAAGACCAGCCTGATTCAGCGGATGCTTTTAGTCAGGTTAGGCTAGTTAAGGAAATGATTAGACTGTAGGAAAGGGCGGTGGATCAGAGGTGTTTGGCCGGGACGGCTCAAATAGTGGGGACAAGCATGATAGTAGGGAGGAGAATTTTTAGCATTGTAGAAGATTTAGGTTTTGGAGTCGGTCTGTTCCGTGAGTGCGGGCAGTGGCAACAAGTAGTGCGAGGCCGGCGCTTGCTTCACAGGCTGAGAAAGCCAGGAGAAGTATGGGGGAGGCTGAGAAGTTGGCGGAGTTAAGTTGAAGGGTTCACATGGAGAGAGCAATAAAGAGTGAGAGTATTATACCTTCTAAACATAAAAGAGCGGAAAGAAGATGGGTTCGGTGGAATGCCAGGCCTGCTAGGCCTAGAAGAAAGGTAGAGGAAAAGGCGAAATGTGTAGGGGTCATTAGACGGCTATGGACTTTAACCACAAGCTCTTGAGCCGAAATCAAGGGTTTTTCTTAAACTAACAGTCTATTCAGCTCATTCTAGACCGCCTTGAGTTCATTCGTAAATTAGGCCGAGGGTTAATAATATAAGAACAGCGAAGGCTCAGGTGAATGTTATGAGAGGGGAAGAAAGTTGATCTCCCCAAGGAAGGGGAAGGAGCAGTGCAATTTCCAAATCGAATAGGAGGAAAAGGATTGCAACAAGGAAGAAGCGGAGAGAGAAGGGTAGACGCGCGGATCCTAGGGGATCAAAGCCACATTCGTAGGGGGAAAGTTTTTCATGGTCAGGTGTTATTTGGGGAAGTCAAAAAGAAACAATAGCGAGGATAGTGGAGAGGGTAATAGAAATAATGAGTATTGTTGTGATTAAATTCATTATCTTTCCTTGGGGTTTAACCAAGACTAGGTGATTGGAAGTCACAGGTACTAGCTTTAATACTAGAAAGATATGAGCCTCATCAGTAAATTGAGATATAAAGGAATAGTCAGACAACGTCTACAAAGTGTCAGTATCAGGCGGCTGCTTCAAAACCAAAGTGGTGTTCGGAGGTAAAATGATATAGGACTTGTCGTAGAAGGCAGATGGCTAGGAAGGTGGAGCCAATGATTACGTGGAGTCCGTGGAAACCGGTTGCTACGAAGAAGGTGGAACCATAAACTCCGTCTGCAATAGTGAAGGGGGCTTCGTAGTATTCTATTGCTTGAAGGAAGGTAAAGTAGAAGCCTAGAAGGATAGTTAAAGTGAGGGACTGGATTGCTTCTTTTCGGTGTCCTTCTATGATGCTGTGGTGTGCCCAGGTGACTGTGACTCCTGAGGCTAGTAGGACGGCTGTATTGAGCAGGGGGACTTCAAAGGGATCTAGAGGGGTAATTCCTGTAGGGGGTCAGCAGCCCCCTAGTTCTGGAGTTGGGGCGAGGCTGGAGTGATAAAAGGCTCAGAAGAAACCTAGGAAGAAGAATACTTCTGAGGTAATAAAAAGGATCATTCCGTATCGGAGGCCTTTTTGGACAGGAGGGGTGTGGTGTCCTTGGAATGTTCCTTCTCGGACAATATCCCGTCATCATTGATATATAGTTAGAAGAAGAAGGATAAGACCTAGTGCTAATAAGGTTATATTATGGAAATGCATTCAGATTGCTAAACCGGAGGTTAGTAGAAGGGCGCCTACTGCGCCTGTTAGGGGTCAGGGGCTGGGGTCAACTATGTGATATGCGTGTACTTGATGGGCCATTAAACGTTTTCTTGTAGGTAGAGGCTTAAGAGAAGGACAAAGACATAGGCTTGAATTATGGCCACTGCAACTTCTAGAAGGGTCAGGAGGAATAGTAGTACTGCGGTCAAAATGGCTACTGTGGGTATTAGGGGGAGGAGGACGAAGGCGGCGGTGGCAATGAGTTGAATTAAAAGGTGACCGGCTGTAAGGTTTGCGGTTAATCGTACGCCAAGTGCGAGGGGGCGAATAAATAGGCTAATTGTTTCGATGATAATTAGGACAGGTATTAAGAGGGTGGGGGTACCTTCTGGTAACAGGTGGCCTAGGGCATGGGTAGGCTGGTTTCGCATACCAATAATGACTGTTGCAAGTCAGAGGGGGACGGCGAAGGCCATGTTGAGGGAGAGTTGCGTTGTGGGGGTAAAGGTGTAGGGCAGGAGACCAAGTATGTTTAAGGTAATGAGGAAAAGTATGAGGGAGGCGAGAAGGGCTGCTCATTTATGGCCCCCTAGACTTAGAGGTTGAAAAATTTGTTGGGTAAAGCGGTTAATAAACCATCCTTGGAGTGTAATGAGGCGGTTGTTTAGTCAACGGGGGGTAGGTTTGGGGTAGAGGACTCAGGGTAAACTGAGGGCAAGGGCAATGAGGGGAATTCCTAGGTATGTGGGGCTCATAAATTGGTCAAAAAAGCTTAGTATCATGGTCAACTTCAGGGCTCTGTTTTGGGTTTCTCTGTGCTTTGGAGTGTTGGGTCGTTTGGGAAGGTGTGTGCTAGAACTTTTGGGGGAATGACTGTTAGGAAAACTAATCAGGAGAAGACTAGAATAGCAAATCAAGGTGCGGGGTTAAGTTGTGGCATTTCGCTAGGGGTGGGCGGGGGTCACCAGTCTTTAGCTTAAAAGGCTAACGCTATTCCCTATTTAGCTTCTTAGCGAAGTGTCTTCAAGTATTAGGGAGGATCAGTTTTCAAAGTGTTCTAGTGGTACCGCTTCTACCACAATAGGCATAAAGCTGTGGTTTGCGCCGCAAATTTCAGAGCATTGGCCATAAAAGATTCCGGGGTGGGAGGCAATAAATGCTGTTTGGTTTAAGCGTCCTGGGACGGCGTCTATTTTTACCCCCAGACTTGGGACGGCTCAGGAGTGAAGTACATCTTCGGCAGAAATTAGGACCCGGATGGGGGATTCAACTGGTACTACTATTCGATGGTCTGCTTCTAGAAGGCGGAATTGGCCTGGGGCTAAGTCTTGTGTGGGGATTATGTATGAGTCAAAGCCGAGGTCTTCATAGTCAGTATACTCGTAACTTCAGTATCACTGGTGACCTATTGCTTTAATTGTAAGATGAGGGTCGTTAATTTCATCTATAAGATAGAGAATGCGTAGGGAGGGGAGGGCAATGAGAATCAGGATAATAGCTGGGAGCAGGGTTCAAATGATTTCGATTTCTTGGGAGTCTAGGATAAATTTATTAGTTAGCTTGGTTGTTACTATAGCCACAATAATATAAAGCACGAATGTGCTAATTAGAAAAACAATTATTAAGGCATGGTCGTGGAAGTGAAGAAGTTCTTCTATTACAGGTGAAGCTGCATCTTGAAAACCTAGTTGGGAGGGATGTGCCATTGTTGTAAGACACGCGGGGCTTAAACCCGCAATTTTGCCTTGACAAGGCAATGTAATGGTCAATTTTACTAGTGTCTTATGAAGAAAGTGACAGAGTGGTTATGTGGCTGGCTTGAAACCAGTTTATGGGGGCTCAATTCCTCCCTTTCTCGTTACTAGGGGCTTGAGGGGGCGGAAGCAGATTTTTCGTAGTTTGACCAAGTTTGAACTTGAACGAAGGCAGGTTCTTCGAAGGTGTGGTAAGGAGGAGGGCAACCGTGAAGTCATTCTACGTTCGTTGCTGTGAGTTCCACTGATGAAACTTCTCGTTTAGCGGCGAATGCTTCTCAAATAATAAATAAAAATATAATTACTGCGATTAGGGAAATTATTGAGCCAATGGAAGAAACTGTGTTTCAAAGGGTGTAGGCGTCGGGATAGTCGGAGTATCGGCGAGGTATTCCTGCCAGCCCCAGGAAATGTTGTGGGAAGAAAGTTATATTAACACCGGCAAACATTACCCCGAAGTGGATTTTGGTTCAGGTGTCGTGGAGCGTGTAACCTGAGAATAAGGGGAATCAGTGGACGAAGCCGGCAACGATGGCAAATACGGCCCCTATCGAGAGAACATAGTGGAAGTGGGCAACGACGTAATATGTATCGTGAAGCATAATATCTAGAGAAGAGTTGGCCAGGACAATTCCGGTTAGTCCTCCAACAGTAAAGAGGAAAATGAAGCCGAGTGCTCATAAGAGTGGAGTTTCTCATTTAATTGAGCCGCCGTGCAGAGTGGCCAGTCAGCTGAAAACTTTTACCCCGGTTGGGATAGCAATAATTATTGTGGCGGAAGTAAAGTAAGCTCGTGTGTCTACGTCCATTCCTACAGTAAACATGTGGTGAGCTCAGACAATAAACCCTAGGAGGCCAATGGCCATTATGGCTCAGACCATTCCCATATATCCGAAGGGTTCTTTTTTACCCGCGTAGTACGCAACAACGTGGGAGATTATACCAAAGCCAGGGAGGATGAGGATATAGACTTCAGGATGACCAAAGAATCAGAACAAATGTTGGTAAAGGATAGGGTCCCCTCCTCCAGCAGGGTCAAAGAAGGTTGTATTAAGGTTTCGGTCTGTGAGAAGTATTGTGATGCCGGCAGCAAGCACGGGCAGGGATAATAAAAGCAATACTGCGGTAATTAGGACGGACCACACAAACAGAGGTGTTTGGTACTGAGAGATGGCAGGGGGTTTTATGTTAATAATTGTTGTAATAAAATTAATTGCGCCAAGAATAGACGATACCCCGGCCAAATGGAGGGAGAAGATGGTTAAATCGACAGAAGGCCCTGCGTGGGCGAGATTGCCTGAGAGTGGGGGATAAACAGTTCATCCTGTGCCAGCCCCTGCTTCGACTCCGGAAGAGGCAAGGAGGAGGAGGAATGAAGGGGGAAGGAGTCAGAAGCTTATATTGTTTATTCGAGGGAAAGCTATGTCGGGTGCACCAATCATAAGAGGCACTAGTCAGTTTCCAAAGCCTCCAATCATAATTGGTATTACTATAAAGAAAATTATTACAAAAGCATGTGCTGTAACAATTACATTATAAATCTGGTCATCTCCGAGGAGAGCGCCGGGCTGACTTAGTTCTGCCCGAATTAGGAGGCTAAGTGCAGTTCCTACTATTCCGGCCCAAGCACCAAATACTAGATAGAGGGTGCCGATATCTTTGTGATTAGTTGAGAAGAATCAACGAGTGATTGCCACAGGTAAGATGGCTGAGTGTTAAGCGGTGGACTGTAGTCCCACGAACAGAGGTTCAAATCCTCTTCTTATCAAGCCTCGAGGTGTTATACATATCAGATTGCAAATCCGAAGCAGCAGGTTAGAACCCTGCCGGGGCTTTCCCCCGCCCTTTTGGAGGCGGGCGGGGGAAAGGTTAGACAGATGCTTGTTGGTTTAAGCGCTTAGCTGTTAACTAAGAGTTTGTAGGATCGAGGCCTTCCTGTCTAGCAAGGCTTTAGCTTAATTAAAGTGTCTGTTTTGCATACAGAAGATGTGGGTTAGTATCCTGCAAGTTTTAGCAGGGGCTGGGAGATTTTCACTCCCGCTTAGGGCTTTGAAGGCCCTTGGTCTGGGTGTTATCCTAAGCCCCTTAGGAGGTTAATAAGGCGGAGATGGCAGGGGTGAGAGGTAGGAGGCAAATTGTTATTGCAGTTGAAGTGGCGAGGGGGTAGGTTAGTTGAGTGGAAGGTAAGCGTCAGGGGGTTGAACCTGTGAGATTGTTAGGGGAAATAGTAAGGGTTATTGCGTAAGAGAGGCGTAGGTAAAAATACAGGCTAAGTAGGGCTGAAAGGGCAGCTAGGGTTGCGGTTGGAGCAAGCCCTTGTTTGGTTAGTTCTTGAAGGATTAGTCATTTTGGCATGAAGCCTGTAAGAGGGGGGAGGCCTCCTAGGGAGAGTAGAATGAGGGGTATGAGAGCTGTCAGGGCGGGGGCTTTTGCTCAGGATGTGGCAAGGGTGTTGATATTTGTAGATTCGTTGAGTTTAAATACAAGAAATGTTGAGAATGTTATAATGAAATAGGTTAGGAGGGTAAGGAGGGTGATGGAGGGGGAGAATTGTAGGACAAGAATTATTCAGCCTAAATGGGCGATTGATGAATATGCAAGAATCTTGCGGAGTTGTGTTTGGTTTAATCCGCCTCAGCCCCCAATAAGTGTGGATGTAAGACCTAAGATGATAAGGAGTGTTGAGCTTGAAGGTTGAAGTTGAAGAATCAGGGCGAAGGGGGCAAGCTTTTGTCAGGTTGAAAGAATTAAGCCTGTGGTGAGGTCTAGGCCTTGCAGGACTTCGGGGAGTCAAGCATGAAGAGGGGCTAGACCAATTTTGAGAGCAAGTGCAAGAGTAATTATGGTACTTGGGAGGGGGTGCGTAATTTGTTGAATTTCTCACTGGCCTGTTAGTCAGGCGTTAGTTACACTTGCAAATAGAAGGGTAGCTGCAGCAGTGGCTTGAGTCAAAAAATATTTGGTTGTAGCTTCGACTGCGCGTGGGTGGTGATGTTGGGTTATTAGGGGAATAATGGCTAGTGTATTTATTTCAAGGCCTATTCAGGCGAGAAGTCAGTGGGAGCTAGCAAATGTGATTGTTGTGCCAAGGCCTAAGCCAAAGAGAAGAATGGCTAAGATGTAAGGATTCATTAGTGAAGGAAGGAGTTTAACCAACATGTTTGGGGTATGGGCCCAAAAGCTTATTTAGCTGACTTTACTAGGAAGTGGTGTAGAGGAAGCACTAAGAGTTTTGACCTCTTCAGGTAGGGTTCAAGTCCCTTCTTTCTAAGGAGTTGGAGGGATTTTAACCCTCATGATTCACTCTATCAAAGTGGTCCTTTATTTTAGGTACAGCTCCGGGCTATAGTTGCGGGGGTAGGCCGGTTAGTGCAATTGGAAGGGAGAGGTGTCAAATTACCAGGGCAAGGGTTAGTGGTAGGAAGTTTTTTCAAATTAGGTGCATGAGTTGGTCATAGCGAAATCGTGGGTAGGAAGCACGAACTCATAGGAAGAGGACGGATAGGAGAGCTGCTTTGATTATAAGATTTGTTGTTGTAATTTCAGGGGTGGTGTGAGAGACAGAGGCGCCTAGGAATAGAGTTGCAGAGAGAGTATTTATTAGGAGAATGTTGGCGTATTCAGCGAGGAAAAAAAGGGCGAAAGGTCCTCCTGCGTACTCTACGTTAAAGCCGGAGACGAGTTCGGATTCACCTTCTGTGAGGTCAAAAGGGGCCCGGTTTGTTTCTGCAAGTGTGGAAATGTACCATATAGCGGCTAGGGGCCAGGCGGGGAGGATTAATCAGACACTTTCTTGGGCGATGCTGAATGTTTGTAGGGTGAAGCCCCCAGTAAAAATAATAGCATTAAGAAGGATTAGCCCTAGGCTAACTTCGTAGGAAATAGTTTGTGCTACGGCTCGAAGGGCCCCGATTAAGGCGTATTTTGAATTGGAGGCCCATCCTGAGCCTAGAATAGAATAAACTGCCAGACTGGAGAGGGCAAGGATAAAGAGGATGCCAAGGTTGAGATCTGCTATTGGGAAGGGGAGAGGCATTGGAGTTCAAAGGGTGAGGGCCAGGGTGAGGGCTAGTATGGGGGTAAAGAGAAAGAGGATGGGTGAGGAGGTGGAGGGTCGAACGGGTTCTTTTATAAAGAGTTTAAGTCCGTCTGCAACTGGTTGAAGGAGGCCGTAGGGGCCTACAATGTTTGGGCCCTTTCGTAATTGTATGTAGCCGAGGACTTTTCGTTCGACAAGCGTGAGGAGTGCAACGGCTAGAAGGACAAACACGATAAGAATTAAGGGGTTGAGGATGGATGAAACTAGTGTTGAGAGCATAGTTAAAGGGAGGACTTGAACCTCCGTGGAAAGGGCTTAGGTCTTTTGCAATGTCCGGGCTCTGCCACTTTAACAAGCCATTTTCTATGGCTAGGGGGTACGCCCTTTTATCTATTTTAGTTGATTTCAATAGATGAGGGGGAGGCATATTGAGAACAGGGGCCCCTTCTTTTCGGTCCTTTCGTACTAGAAAAGATCGTGACATAGATAGAAACTGACCTGGATTACTCCGGTCTGAACTCAGATCACGTAGGACTTTAATCGTTGAACAAACGAACCCTTAATAGCGGCTGCACCATTAGGATGTCCTGATCCAACATCGAGGTCGTAAACCCTCTTGTCGATATGGGCTCTAGAAGAGGATTGCGCTGTTATCCCTAGGGTAACTCGGTCCGTTGATCGGCTATGTGCCGGATCTTGTTGGTCAGAAGTTCTGTTACTTGGAGTTGTGACTCTGGGTTGTGGGGGTAGTGTGCTCCCGGTCCACATGGGGGTTTGTTATTTCCCCGCGGTCGCCCCAACCAAAGACATTAGAACAGGGGCCAATGAGTTTTGTCCTTTATTTGCGGGGTGTTTAACATGGTCTGTTCTGGTGTCTAAAGCTCCATAGGGTCTTCTCGTCTTATGTTAATATCCCCGCTTCTGCACGGGGAGATCAATTTCATTGACTGGAAAAAGGAGACAGTTAAGCCCTCGTTATGCCATTCATACAGGTCTTCATTTAAAAGACAAGTGATTGCGCTACCTTTGCACGGTCAAAATACCGCGGCCGTTAAACTTATAGTCACAGGGCAGGCGGGACCTCTTATATTTAGGGGTTCAAGAGGCGATGTTTTTGGTAAACAGGCGAGGCTTGTGTTTGCCGAGTTCCTTCTTTTTCTTTTAGTCTTTCCTGGTTTGCACACCAGTGTGGGGTTAACGGTGAGGAACTAGGGGTTTTTCTAGTTGTTTGTTTTTTGCCTAAGGCCCTCTTTGTTTTGGGGCCGTTAATGGTCGGTGAAGGGTTCGTTCCGAGTTACACTTGTGCGGGGAGAGGTGGGTCCTCTTATTACTCATGTTAGCATAAACGCTTCCATAGTTTTATGGAACGGCCTGGTAGGTTTTAGGGGGGTGAAATTGTATTGTCTTTATTAGAAGGCTGGTTAGGGGATGCTCGAGCTTTAACGCTTTCTGGGTAGGTGGCTGCTTTTAGGCCCACTAGGACATTTAACCTTTTAGTTCGTTGTGATTTTTACCCTCCTTGGAAAGTTGTGTCTTGTTTCAAAGGGGCTGTACCCCCTTTGACTAACTCCTTTAACTTCTTTGGTCGGTGTGAAGGCCTTAGGCCAATGGGAGTGGAGAATTTGAAGGGCTGAACTTTTATTCAGTTTTCAGGCAACCAGCTATAACTAGGCTCGGTAGGTCTGTCACCTCTACTCGAAGTTCTTCCCACTCTTTTGCCACAGAGACGGGGGGGGTCCTATAAATTAGACTGCCTTGGAGTAGCTCGCTTAGTTTCGGGGTATCAAACATAATGCTTTTTGCTTGAGGTTTTCTGGCTAAATCATGATGCAAAAGGTACGAGGAGTGATCTCTGCTTTTTAGTGCTTTACTGGGTTGTTTCATTTCTCTTTCAGCGTTCCCTTGCGGTACTTTCTCTGTTGCTCCTAGGTCCTTTTTCGTCGCCCGTACTTAGGTGGAAAAATGGTTTGTTGTTGAAAGAGTGGTATATTTGGGGGTATAGATAGGGTTAATTTGGGGTTGATGAAGGGGCTAGCTGTTGGGCGTCAGGGTGGCCCGATTTGCACGGGCGACTTCTCAGTGTAAGGGAGATGCTTTTCTGGCTTAGCTACACTCTGATTTTTCCAAGTACACCTTCCGGTACACTTACCATGTTACGACTTGCCTCCCCTTTACCGGTAAAATGTATTATTTATAGGATGTTGTTGGCTTGGGGAGAGTGACGGGCGGTGTGTGCGCGCTTCAGGGCCAATTTCAGCGGAACGCTCTATTTTCTGCTTACTGCTAAATCCTCCTTCTAATGTATATTTCATTACATTGTTCGTATTCCCTGTGGCAGGGAATGTAGCCCATTTCTTCCCCCCTCATATGCTACACCTCGACCTGGCGTTTTGAGTTGTACTAGTTTTGCTTACTGTGGTTCCTTCATAGGGTAAGCTGACGACGGCGGTATATAGACGGAAAGAACAAGAGGGGGTGAGGTTTAACGGGGGTTATCGGTTCTAGAACAGGCTCCTCTAGGTGGATCTAAAGCACCGCCAAGTCCTTTGGGTTTTAAGCTAGTGCTCGTAGTACCCGGGCGGATAGTGGGTGTAGGGGGCTATCAAGGTTTAGGGCTGGGCATAGTGGGGTATCTAATCCCAGTTTGTTTCGCAGCTTTCGTGGGGTCGGGGATATAAAGCCACTTTCGTAGTGGGGCTTCTTGCTCTCGGGTACGTATAACAGTTCTGAGGGCGTTCGGCTTTAGTTTAAAAACTTCCTAACCACTCTTTACGCCGATGTCTATCAACTTGAGCCTCTCGTATAACCGCGGTGGCTGGCACGAGTTTTACCGGCCCTCTTGGCTTTAACTAAGTCAAGTTTACACTTATGGCTTAATGTCTATCACTGCTGAGTTCCCTTGAGGGTGTGGCTAAGCAAGGTGTCATGGGCTGCGGAAAGTGTGCCTGATACCAGCTCCTTGTTCTCGGGCAGAAAACTGTGGGCATTCTCACAGGGGGGCGGAGACTTGCATGTGTAAGTTTAGCCAAAGTTGACAGTAAAGTCAGGACCAAGCTTTTGTGCTTACGGGACCTTTCTAGGGACCGTCTTAACATCTTCAGTGTTATGCTTTAGTTAAGCTACGCTAGC